AGTTTTAACTAAAGAATTTTCGATTCAAAATTTCATGATCTCTATTAGCTTTTAGTTTATTCCGACACAAAACATGATGTATTTCTACAAACTTCAAACTCATCAATTGACTTTCATTTGTGTGGGATATATAAAAGAATGACATATTGACATAAAAATCTATAACCGGACCTGTCCGAAGGTCTTAAGTGTAAAAATTTGTACTATTCTATTAGGAATGTTAAAATAAACACGAGCCTATGCAAGAATTTAGTGCCTTTCTTCTCCCATCATGTGATGACACCTTTTCACTTTTTTCATATTGGCATATGATTTGAGATTGAGGGGTAGCTGGGGAGATTTCTGATAGAATAAGATACTGATGATAGTGGATGATGGCGCTAGTAGTTTGTACTTAGGAGCATATATCTTTTGTTGCAGTGCTACTGTGTTCTTGTTCTGTTTTGGCTGCTAAGTTTTGAAGATATTGCTCCAAAAGCAAAAGCAGAGGAACTCTGCTCATGTGCATGAGTGTGCGTACATGGTAGAATAAGAATCCCATGGAATAACAATCTAAACGATGACGATGATGTTTGTACTTGCATCATCTTATTCAATCACCTGTTATTCTCATTGCCTTTTTCTCCCTGGAGTATTGTCTACAAACTTCTCAAGATTTAATTTTAACTTTAGCCTTATGGAAATAAACTAGTTTTGAGTTTTGACATAGTACTGTTACTTACGGCTTAATCGAGAGGTCTAATGTTGGAATTTTAGTAATCACTTATAAGAACATACAGCGGTGGACCCCGAAATTATATGTAAGGATGTGTGAGTCCCTCTTAATTTTTCCTTTTTTTAAAAAAATATCTTACTAATACAAGTTACAACAAAAGTCCACGATTTGTTATTGTATTTTGAAAAAAAAATGTAAAATACAGCAACTGTCTACAGTGCTATATATGTACTACGGAGTTGAAAAAGCTCTCTCACTTCTCGGAGTTGCAATCGTAAAATCAATACAATATTGAGTAGCAAATAGACCCCATAGATATGATAGATTCAATTTTGTCCCCCAACCATCAACTCATATAATTCTATCACTTGCTTCTAATTCATCAATCCTTTCCATATGAAGAGAAATTTTGTCGCTGTACTGTTAAAGATCATGGATTTGACGAAGCTCATTAAACTAGCATAGATTTCACTTCTCCAACGTAACTGATCATCCAGTAGTGCTTTGAATGTCGAGGTCAATCACCACATGACCAGTAATAGCATGTTTCATGCATCTGATTCTGATCTAGCTAGCTGTATTAATGTTTCTCCTTTGGTACAACCTGGAAGTTAACCTTTTGTTGTCCGTTAGTCACGCCCAACATTTTATGAGGTTATCAACGATTTCCTTGTCAAATTTAAAGCATTTTTAACTTCATTAATCCACGCAACTGCCTCCCCTAGTCAAAATGACCCACATGATGCAAAAAAACCCTAATCGGTTTCCCTTTAACTGGTCCAATTCTAGCTAATATGTTGCTAACAACGGTGTTAGATGTAGATCAGGATTGGCTATATCTTCCGTCAATATGTGGATCATATGTTAAACAAATATCGAGCGCAAATTTTGGAAGGGTTCATAATGAAGTATCGTACCACTTCCACAGTCATTTCAATGCAAGCATGCACCTTAAAATTTTAGGTCAAATATTGAGAGTAAGGGTTGTAGCTCTCTTGTAGTGAAATACTCTACATTTAGCTCTACCTTCTGTGCACGAAATATCAAACAAACTATATAGTTTGGATACGTTGTCATTTTGGTTGGATAAACTATTATGATGATCAAGGTTTATCGACAAGTATCCCTTCATAATTTTTTTATAGTGGACCCAACATAGCTTTGTCATCTTTTGCAACGAAGTGGTAATTATTGAACTTTGAATAATCCAATCCTCATCAGTTCAATGGGCTCAAGAAATCTGGACCTTTCATTTAGAAAATCCAGATCTAAAGATGGAGAATTAAGGTTATTTTTATTTTCACTAGCTTTCTTAATTGACTCATATCTTTTTCGTTTTAACTCGGATTTTAATTTTTTTTGCACAGATGGAACGAGTTCACCGTGCTCTACAAAATGAGATCAATTTTCAATATTTTTTTAGGAAAAAAAAATTCCGACCTCTCGGTACCAACTGCATACCATATGGTATCTTCTTCGTTTTTAATTCGTTTTTGAAAACGTTTGCACAGCAGGGATGAGTTCATCAAGATCTACTGGATCTACAAATTTCTGGGTGAACAAATTACAGGACCAAAAAATACCACACAATACCATACAATACCACCCTGGTACGAGGTGGTATTGTATGGTATCTTCTTCGTTTTTAATTCGTTTTTGAAAACGTTTGCACAGAAGGGATGCGTTCATCATGATCTATTGGATCTACAAATTTCTGGGTGAACAAATTACAGGACCAAAAAATACCACACAATACCATACAATACCACCCTGGTACGGGGTGGTATTGTGTGGTATACAATGTTAAAAGTCGTAAATTACAATTAATATACTTCTACTATCATGTATTCAACCATCCTACAGTATTGGTTTGTTCATACAACCATGGTACGTTTTTCAAAACATAGGTATGCTTTTATTTCAATACCAGTCAATACCATATGGTATAGGCTGGTAAAAAATGGCTCAATTTTTTTTGTTCGAAAAATATATTAAAGTGGATATCATTTTGAAGAGCACAATTAATCTGATCTAACTGTGCAAAAAAAATTAAATTTCGACTTAAAATGAGCGAGAAATCGTCCGTCAAAGATTAAAGATGGAAAAATTAAATGCTTTCCATGAGAGAGAGGATGCTGATGTCATGCTGATGTGGACGGGTTACTCATGGTTACTCACCATAAGGTTACTGACTGATCCATTCCCTTCCCAGTTCAATGATAAGGTATATAATAGTGTTTTAATGAAAGGATTGACAAGTCGCATGCATTATCATGTTTCATTTTGGGGATTCTTTTGCTTGTTTCCTAATTCTGACTTTGGACGAGAATTCGTTTTGGGATTTGCATACATAGCGTTATTCCTGCAGATTAATAGTGCCAAAATGTGCGCATATGATGATATAGGCAACTCCCACCGCCAATTTTTTTCCCTTTGATATGATATGTGGATGAACTTGGTACCTATATCATGCAAGTCATTCACTTTGGAAAAGGCTAGCTAGCTAGCTAGCTACCACTCTATACTATACCTTAGACAATGTGGTGGCTAAACAATTCCCCAATACATTGGGACCTTGACCAATGAAAAAGACTTTAGATGTCATGTTGAATGAGTAGATGTAATCACCACGATTATATCTTTTTAATTGGTGGAAGAGCCAGAAATCTGAACGAGGGGACTAAAATTCTACATTCATGAGTCGTTTGGATGTGGTATTTATCAAACCTGTTATTTGGGATCAATTACCACAAATAGTACCACATGTCACAATACTTGTTATATGCTATGTGATGTTTGTATGAAATAACACATTTGGAGAAATTATGGGATTTGAGCCGGGAAGGTGAGCTAAAGTCTCACCACCTAATATTCAGGTAGGGTTTGAGACATAAGCAGAGAAAAAATCTGAGTATGAGATCAAAAATAAATAAGACGGAATTGAGAGAACTAGGGCAATTGAGAGATGAAATTAGAACAAGTAATTAGTATCTTGCTTCTGCGATAAATTGATCGAATGACTAAAAGTATAATATATTGTATAAATCGAAACCCTGATAGACATGTACATAATAAGATACTAAAACACTCCTAATCTACTCGCGGTCCATAAATAATACGAGTGATTGTGTAATGCATTCCTTTCTCACACATCACAATAGTTCAACTATCACTATAGTAACTTATAGGCATGCCTTCATTGCCTTGTGTTTACTCCTGGCAATCAGCAACCGATCGAGTTGAATACATCTCTGGCAATGATACTAATAATAAATAAAGAATAAGAACAAAGGAAAAAACAATGTCAAGAGTGGTGTAACAAATGTTTTAATTGGGACTACATACATTCACCCAATTCCATCCCTCCACCTCTCTCAAAGTCTTTTCATCAAAATTTTGATGTCCTGTGGATTTGGTAGATGTGACAACACTTTTCTTTTTCAATCCTTATGTGTTATCACTTCTGTCCATCATTCCTTTCAATTCACAACCAATCGCGACCATCTCTTCCTTTTCTGTTAGTACTTAGTACATATCGGAAAATGGAGGTGGAGCACAAGATGTGGTTTAAATTAATTAATATTCGAAAAAGCAATAAGTATGAACTTTTAGAAGTATCACTCTTTTACAAATAATCTACGATAGATCAGGACTTTTTGGATTAGCGATTTCTAAGTGAGTTGATTTAGATTTAGACTTCTATTAGGGTGGATGCTAAATATTTTTCAATCACAAAGTTTGAGAAATGGACATATGGATATTTATAATTAATTAGTTGGAGAAAGGGATATACTTTTTTTTAGTATAGAAGTCTCTAACCGAAGGGAAGACTAATTAGGAAAAAAAAGCATGGCCACCAAACATATACACCAACCAAATACCAACTCAATCAGGGTTGATGGGAGTCCCTCAACCAGCCAATGAAAATCTTTGCGAACAAGAATTCGATTTAGTGGTACAATCATTGGTTTTCAACTTATAGAGATCCCAAATTCAAATATCTTAAATAGCAAGTAATGATAAAAAAAAAAACATTATATCACCGTTATATAAAAAAAATCTATTTGCACTGGAGAATGATGATAATTAATTAATACGATCCCTTAATGAAAATCATAGAATAACATATCACGATCTAATACGACTCTAATCAATATTATGACCTATAGGCTATAGCTATTAGCTAGCTAGAGTACAATGAGGGGCTTAATAAGTGCACCCTTTAAGACAATTAACAAAAGAACATCATCATCTAAGTACCTCTCCCTCTCCTCCTATATCTCAACTAATAACTAGCTAGATGCTCGTTCCCTCGAATCCCGTACTGCCACGTGTCATCCAAGTTCCAGAGTGTATCCGCCACGTCATAATTATACCCGACCCAGTTGCCATCATCGCCTCCCACCTGGCATAATTCATGATCAGCTGTTGGATCCGCCATCTCTTCATGGTACTGATGACAGTCTCCATCTTCCAAAACAATGTTCCAGTTGCAGTTTCCCATGGAGAATATTCCGACATACTCCGATTCAGCAATCTTCCCCGCCTCGGTGTTTTGCTGGTGCTGCTGCTGGTACGACGTCGTTGTGTTGTCTGTGGAAAGGGCGGCGGTCATGAGATCGTTGACCGAGGCCGAGTTGGAGAAGTGGGCGGTTTCCTCTTCTTGTGTCGGAAAAGAATAATAAGGGTTGACCATGAGTTGCTGCTGATCATCATCAAGATGGCGGCTATGATCTGCTGCAGGCGAGAACAGAGAACCAGCTGGAGGATCATCAGGAAGTTGACCATCTGATGATGATGATGAAGTTGGTTGCTGTTGTTGCTCGACTTTCTGAAGCAGACGTGGCATCCAGTAGCACCTCACAGCGTCGAGGAATTTTTTGCTGTTGGATTCGATGTTGAGCTGCCTAGCCTGCCTCTGCACTCTCGTCCTCCAGTAGTTCTTGATCTCGTTGTCCGTCCTTCCAGGCAGATGTTGAGCTATTCGTGACCACCTAATTAAAAAAAAAATTATCACTAATATTTAATTACAACGCGAAGTATATATATATATTAGTATTGGTATTTTTCCTTAAAAAGAGAATTTTTTTTTTTACCTATTACCCCACTTGGAATGGAGTTCAAGGATCAGAAGCTGCTCTTTGGGAGTGAGATTCCCTCTCTTAATATCCGGCTTCAAGTAATTCAGCCATCTTAGCCTGCAACTCTTCCCAGTTCTTTTCAGTCCTGTTAAGAGATTAAAAAGGATTTAACAAATCATTTCCCAACAACTCGAGTTATTATTGAGATCATAACTGGTTAGTTTCGATATAACATACCAGCACATTTAGCGAGCATGTTCCAGCGGCCTTCGCCATGCCTGGCGATGTAATGGGTGAGAAGAGTGTCTTCCTCCAGCGTCCAAGGCCCTCTTCTCAGCTCATGATCATGGTCGTGACTAATTCCCACTTCTGTACCGCCATTGCTGCTGCTGCTGCTGCAGATCATTGTCCCGTTATAACCAGCAGCTCCATAAGGGCGATTTACAAGTGGTGCTCTCATTTCATGCATGGGATGGGAGTGCATAGTTAAACGAAAAGTCAGGTGAAGAGGGCAGAGATTTATATAGACGAACCAACAAGTGTACAGTACTATAAATAGTGGGGATCTAGTTATTAGTAGCTGGAGAGGTTAGAGGAAATAGTGGGTTGTACTTAAATATTCTCTATTCATCACCACATGCTCTTTTCTCGACCCCATGCCATGGAGGAAAAGAAATTGTTATTCCTTTTCTCGATCCCCTTTTATTGCGATGTATAGAGATGGTGTTAGTGAATAAAGTTCAAAGGGTATCCTAGACTTAATATAGACATGTCTAACACGTAGTTAGTTCCAATAATTCAAGTTGTTATTGAGAAAAAGTTATGTATTTTATACAATTCTCTAACAGTTCTCACCAGTGGCGAACCTAGGATTATTGAAGAGGGGTGTTGCCGATAAAAAATATAATAATTAAAAATAAGTTTAATAGAAATTACTAGAAATTCATTTATAAGTTCGCAACGTCATGTTTACTAGGGCTGGCAACCAGTGGCGGAGGCAGCATTTCAAACTACCTCTGTCATTTTTTCATAACTTAAATATATAAGACTATAAGTATCTAATAAATGAATTATTTAATAAAAAATAATTATATCCGAATAATTCATTCATAAATTAAAAATAACCGATTATACAATCATACTTTTCAGAAACAACTACAAAGAAATTTCATATAGTGAAAGAAACGGAAAAACATTCGTTGTCTGCACTATTATATAAGTCTTTAATGTATCTTACTAAATAAGTATTAGCAAACTGGTCGCTAAATCGACTTGGAAACTTGTTCTTAATATAACTCAAAATTGAAAAATGCTCTTGTTACACTTGCAGTTGTAATTGGTAGATCAAAACTAGTGTGATTGCCGTTGTCGCTAGATAATTTCAAGGTTGTTGGGGAAAAGATCGAATAGCCATAAGAAGAAAAGAGACCCGATTAGGTCTTTATTGCAATTGGAATTTCGTTTATAGTATAATAAATTAATTTTGGACAAATAATAAGTTGTGTTATAGTGACAAAGTACTCTAATACTACCTATAGGTGTCGTGTTCCATCACCAATATAAATATATATGGCGTATTTTTGTTCCACCGAAATTTACCCCTGTCCCGGGACAAGCCCCAAAGGGCCTGCCTCCGCCACTGCTGGCAACCGGTCGGTTTCGGTTTAACCAAAAACCGAATTATCAGTTTTCGATTAAACCGAGACCTGACCAATACCCACCATCGATCGACCGCCCCAGCAGTCCCGGTTAGCCGCAAACCGACCGGGTGGTTTTCGGTTTAGGTGCGAATTAACCGAGGCAACCGAAAATGTGAAGACCGGTTCGGTTTAGTTGCCTAACCGACCTTGAAAGCAGAGTGAGACGAAGCATGGAATCGAGAGTGAGACAAAGCAGAAAAGAGTTGCATTTGGAATAAGATTCATGAACAGTAACAAACTTTTCCATTAACCCATCAACAAAGACAGGTCACTACTTTTCAATCTACTAAACATACATAATTGCGGGAGCTGCTGCTTGTGTTGGGAGGGCGACGAGCTGCTGCAGGAGTGCTGGTGTAGGCGGCGGGGCGACGTCGACGATGGTGGAGGTGGCGGGGCGGCGAGGGTGGAGGCGGCGGGTGTCGGGTTGTTGCCTGGGTTTCGAATCCCTCAACTGCAATTAATCAGCGCTACTCTTATCCGCGCCCCAGCGATACTCTGTTACCTCTCTTGAATCCGTCAATTGCAATTAATCAGATCTCCAATACTCAGTTGCCGCTTCACAAGAAATTCCTGGAAAACCTTATCGAGTTCGAATCTACCAACGATGACGGTTGAGAGAAGCAGAAACTCGGATGTATCGGCGATAGGGAAGCCGGTGAGGGTTACAATATCCCTGGTGGAACATCGACGATGGTGGAGGGCTGGAGCTCTCTGCGGGAGAAGACGAGAAGGGGGAAGGGGAAGAGGGCTGCACGATTGATTTGGGAATTGGGGGGAGGAGGGTCGATTTCTTAGGGTTAGTGGTAGGGCCGAAGCGGGATCGTTTTTGGGGAAAGGGAAGAGGTCGGTTAGCCGGTTACCGACCCCGGTTAGTCGGCAAGCCGAACCCCTGCCCTTTCCCACCACCAACCGACCGCTGTATTCAGAACCGGTTTTTCGGTTAGCCGAAAACCGGTCGGTTCGGTTGAAACCGTCCGGTTAACTGCTAACCGAAAACCGTTCTGCTAGCCCTAATGTTTATTACGAATTATGACGATTTTTCATATCCTGAGATTTTTTTAAAATACATTCATCGTTTATGTTGCAAATCAAACCTTTTTCGATATACATAACTACATAATCATTCATAAATTAGTCCCTAAACCAAAGAGAATCGACCTACATCTAAAATGAAATTAAGTTAAAATAAATTAGTTTACAATCAAATATAGTAAACTACAATCTACCAATCGACAATTTTAGAATAAACAAAGTATGCCTAAAGTAATATCATTAACATTTTTCTCTAGTTCTACCAAATTAACCAAAATCAAACTACAATCTCCCATAAATATACGCAATTCACCTATTAACTACAAATCGACAAGTTAAATTGGGTTGTGGATTACTTAAAACAAGCATGCTTATTTGATTTTACTTATTATTGTTAATTACTAATTATGATGAATAACTTTATAACATTAAAACTATTCTCGTATAATGAAGGTGTGTCGCTTATAATTATTAGAGCAGTGTCGGAAGTTTCAAATTAAAAAAAATTGTACAAAAAATGGAGGTACTTCACAAAATTTTCGAGCGGAGGGGAGGGGTGTCGGATGACACCCCTCCCCTTGCCTTAGGTCCGCCCTGTTCCCACATCCATAGGCTAACCTACAATAAATATTAATTTATATTACCGTATATGTTTAGGGGTGGGATTCGGTCGGTAAACGGTAAATTATTTACCGAATTTACCGGTTTCGGTATACCGAAGTTGGTCAAATTGGTTACCGATTACCGATACCGGTTTGTAACCGGTTTACCGATTACCGAATTACCGGTAAACGGTTACAAACCGGTATTACCGAAATACCGTCAGAAGCAATTTCGGGGCGGTTTTTCAGTCGGTTTACCGAACCGAATTTTTGGAAGTGGGGTGATGTTGTAATATTTTGAGTTTTTTTCATCATTTTTGTAATTAATAATTTATTATTAACTCTTATTTACAATATTTTTTAGGCCTATATTTACTTACATTCATGTATGTAATATTTTATATTTGTGAATAATGATGTATATGTTATATGTTAGTGGAGTAGGGAGGGGGGATTTCGGTATCGGTATTACCAATTTACTGTCGGTATTTACCGATACCGTGTTCGGTAAACCGACTCCACCAACTTCCCGCTCGGCTACCGATACCGCCGGTAAACGGTTTACCGTTTACCGACGGTTACCGGTTCGGTAAAACGGTAAACCGTTTACCGGATTACCGTTTACCACCCCTATATATGTTTATCACAAAATTGGTAAGATTTAATTACTAGTTGTTCGCTCATTCTTTTATATAGGAAACAAATCAAATTAGATCTATCTTATCTAAAGATGGCGATGAAACAACTTATATGGCGAGAATACGGGACAATCCAAATACCACATCGAAAATACAAGGAAAGGAATTTTTGTATATTAATGTCCACCTAGCCCAATTAGTAATAGGCCTTTGGGGAGGACCCAAGAGTAAATCCGTGCGGGCTTAGCCCAAAGTGGAAAATCCTTGTAACGAGAAGCCATCGATACAAGGTGTCTGGCGGATCAAGATAATCGCTGAGGTGAGTACACGAAGTTCGTGATCTTTGACTTGAAGGGAGGATTACCACATTGGTAATACAAGGGAAATGACCCCTGTATATTAGTGTTCACCTAATCCATTAGTACGAGGCCAGTCACGGGACTTGAAATACACTATTATCGTAACGAGATAAAAAGAAGAAAAATACTGCATGTAAAATTAGTTCTTGTTCACATATGTTTTGCCGCCCTTCTATTTTTTTAAGTCGGTCACGATGACAGTTTTTCTGTTGGCATTGTGTTGCCAGCTGGCATTGTGTTAGTAAGATAGATGCGTGATTGACCAGAGAAGCTATAATGAATTCCTGATGAGATAACGTTCAAACACAACGTGTCAAAAAATCCATATTAGTTCAGAGTTTCAACAGTACAAGAAAAGGAAATGCACAGTCAGAAACGAACAAAGCTTAATTAGCTAGGTGGTATCCCATGCATGTTACTATAGGGTGGAAATGAGACATGTTGGTGGACTCTCTAACAGTGTAACCGATGGCTATTACATAATTATCGGTTTTGGACTTTCATTAACACGAAATTTGTGGGATAAATATCAAATTACACTATCTAATCCAAACTAAATAGTCTTGATTATTAATCACTTTAATCAATCCAAGTTGCTACAGCCAGAAGAATATCTTTAATGTGATAGCTATCCTTGCAGCGGCGGATCCAGGACAGGGTAGAGCACTGTGCCACTTTTGAAAAAAGGTGGAGATGGCTGGATCGCAACGTGAAAAACACTGAAACGAATACCAAAAATCGGAAATTACAAGCTCGAGATCCAGAAAAGGGTTGGACCGCGGCCCGGGGGCGGCCCCCTGGATCCGCCGATGTATCCTTGTAGAGAATCACTACGTATTTCCTTATTAACATGACGTCTGCTATTGTATAGTTGATCGAATTAATCAACTAGCCTTCGATATCTCCATCATGACTGAATAATTTTCTATTTAATCCACCATTTTTCTTAGGTTCCTCATACTTTGTGCTACAATCAATTGTTAAATAATTCATTGTTAGGGTTTGCTCGGTGCAATTTTTCTCCATAAACAAATTAAACCTAGTACGAAAAAGTTGTTTTTGTTGTTATACA